ACCGGGGGCAGAGGGTGAGGAGCCCTCCCCTGAGGAGGAAGGAGCGGCAGAGACAGCAGGTGATGGACTGACCCCAACCCCCATTCCTTGTCCTCCTGCACCGCTGGTGGGGAGGAGGGAGAGAAAATCAGGAGTCAAGTTAAGCCCAAGAAAAAGGGAGGGGTGGAGGAAAGGTGTTTTTTAAAGATTTGGTTTGTATTTCTCATTATCCTACTCTGATTTGCTTGGTAATAAATTAAATTAACTTTTCCCCAAGTCGAGTCTGTTTTGCCCATGATGGTAATTGCTGGTTGATCTCTCCCTGTCCATATCCCAACCCACGAGCCTCCATTGTATTTTCCCTCCCCTGTCCAGCTGAGGAGGGGGAGTGTTAGAGTGGCTTTGGCGAGCACCTGGCATCCAGCCAGGGTCAACCCACCACACTCATTGAGGAGGGTAAGTGAGAGAGTGGCTGGGTGGGTGCCTGGAAGCTGGCCAAGGTCAACCCACCGTAACTAGTCAGTATTAATGGACTCTGTTGAGGAGAATTACTTCCTGCAGTTCACTGTAAGTGGTTTTTGAAGAACCTGTGTACTTGTTATTCAGCTGTCTTTCTTGTTCCCTTTGAACCAGTGTCAACCTTTCAGTATTGGAGGAGGATGAGATTTAGTAGCTCTGTCTTAACTAGCAACCAAGTGTCATTTTTCACTTTGCTTTCCTTTTTGATTCTGCTAGATTTTTAAAGCATGCTAGATTTCCTACAACACAACACTGATACTCCAAAAACAATGATATAAAACACTTGGTAGAAAAGATTTTATGTAGTTACACAGCTAAGAGTCTACTCATAGAACATATGTGCACACGTATTTACAAATAGAACAGATTTTTGTGCCATGTGAGCTCTGTTTCATTACCAAGAACTCTATCCGAAAATGAAGAGAGAAATAAAAAAAAGAAAATGTAATTATGCTTCACCTGATAGAGGTTTACAGGACATCAATGCCCTCAACACATTTATGCTAATTATGTCTAGTTTATTAAAGTCATGCTTGAACATTAATGCCATTTCACACACTACCACATACAAATCACATCATCTTTTTCTCTCCTGTCCCTACACACTTCCCAGAGCTGTGCTTCAAAATGTTTTGAAAAGGTGAGATCTAGCCCCTCTTTAAGCATTGGTAATCTTTTTTTTTTTTTCCTGTTAACTATTTAATGTGTGGGATGAACAAGAGGGACTGGAGACCACCTTTATTTCTTTAAAACACTGAAAAAATGAAGGTTCATTTAGTAACAGGAAAGAAAACCTGTAGATGTTGGCTGGAAATCTTTTAAACTTCCATTGAAGAATAATGGATACAGCAGGAGATATTATGAGTAAACTAGGTATAACAGAAGAAAAACATTTTGGGTCTTTTTCTGCCACTAACACTGTCTACATACAGACAAAATTAACACACACTGTATTATAAGGAAACTGAAAAAAAGGAATGTTGAATTGAATGCATGACTTTCTTTAGAAATCGTGGCGCTCCATCTTTTATCCTTTGGTAGGCTTGTGAGTGAATAGTTCATGTTGCTGTAAAAATGCCAGTAGGTATAAAATTATACAATTCTCAAATCAATTGTGCATAGACCAGCTGGGTCAACAAATGCACTGAAGTCTTGACAGGCAGAGGGTTAGATCTTGATGGACCCAGGTGTAATATGGAACACTCAAGAGGGTCAGAGCAGTGGAATAAACTAGTAATATAACATGATTCATAGAGACGGCGCGCACACAGATAAAGTTCACTGTCCCATGGATATCCTAATAAAAATTGTGTCCCAGTCTAAACAGATTAAAGTTGGTGGATGTGCACCTGGGCACTACACTCCCCCAGCTCATCACTCTATTTTCTAGACTCAACTCGCTCAACTTCAAATGTCTCATTTAGAAGAAGAGTCATGTCACCTTCCCCTTCAGTCAAATCAGCTGTTAAGTAGTATGGACGGCAAAAGGGATTGCCTGTGTCTTTTCAGTGCCTCATAATCAGAGCTTGAGGAGTTTTTTGGCTTGTGGTTTGCAAATTTTAATGTGTTCTAGGGTATGTACCAAGCTATGAACCATAATGTTTAACAAAAAGGTTAGGCACAGCTCTTCATTGTAGACTAGGACATAACTAAAGACATGTTGAAGAAAAAAAAAAAAAGAAAACTTTTGGCTAAAGTTGATGACCAAGACTCCTATCAAAAATGTCCCTCATACAACCAAACCAGTGATTCTTTACAGGAGGGACTGTAACTTCTTCTAGACCAAACGTAAAGACGTTAACCACCTTAAAGCTAATGCTCACCTTTGCACATCAGTTTATGCAAATGTATTTAAATGGTTTATATTAGGTCTGTGAGCAATGGCACCATTTTTTCCACTACTCTAATTAGAACTGTGTAAACTTGAAGTGGGAAACTTAGCTCTCAGAGACTACGCTACACTGAGGAAGCAGCAGAATGGGATTGCCACAGCCTACCCAGTATGATTTAGAGGGTTAGTCCGGCTCATTTAAAGTCTGTCTTATCTAGTCTTTCAGAATAAGAGAGAAATTTTTTTTATGAACCACATCAATCATATGATAACATGCAGTTCCCTAGAACTGTAACTGGATGGATGTTCAAAAAGTAAATTCTAACAGTTTTCCACAAGCTTTTATCATATACAAATTGTGGTCTTGAAAAGAATCATCTTACATACTAAAAATAGCTATGCAGGGGAAAAAATCCTACTAAAATTACGTAATTGAGAATATAAAACAATAAAATATATCAAAGCAAACAGGATACGTGAAGGATGCACTAGTCCTCAATATTTTCTATCTAGTTGTATATAAGATACAATTTTCTACATGCATTATAGTTACATACCACATCTATGCTATGTCTATAGAAAACTGCTAATCCGGTAGTGGAATTCTGACATACCTTAATGATTTGAGCAATGACAGAATAAAACATGCATATTTATACAGACAGTGGGTAATATATATGCAGTGTATTTGTATTAACAGGGGCAGCTAACCTTCTTCTAAGGTCAACTCCAACCACAAACTAACATACAAATGTCCGTACATAAAATTTCTATATTTGCTTTAAGCAATGTAGAATGAGTTGTATTTAAGGTCCTTTGAAGCCCCAGAATTGTGCGAAAACAGAACAAGTCACTTACGAGTCCAGATAAGATCTGACCAAATGAAAACAATCCTATTCACTTTTGTAGGTAGTAAAATGTCCCTGATTCCTATACAATAGAATTATGAGTCATGACAATTCAGCTCTTGATAACAATAGAGAAAACCTTAGAACATTCCCAGAAAATTATGCTTTATATATTGCCCTATTAAATCTTAAGCAACATAAGACCAGAACGACTTTTGGAGGTCATTGTTTACCTAGGTTTGTTGCATTTGTTTTTTCCTTTTATCAAAGAATGATAGACAGCCACTCCCACAATTTCTTAACTTACATCTTTGCAGAACTCAAGAGAGAATATAAATCCTAGGATGATCAAGCAACGGAGCAGATAAAATTTTGGGAACATACAGAAACTAATTCAGAATAGCGAGAGGCTATTTCACCTACAGCTGTTTCAGCTAGGCCTACTATACAGGAAAAATCTTTAAATCTTCTCTTTGTGCACAGGCCTTTCGGGAGAAGAAATCAGTCTTCTGTTCAAATGGAACATACAAATATAGATACTAGTAACTGTCAAGAATCTGCAAAACTGAAAGAGTCAAAAAGTCTGTGCTGCAAAAATCCTACTAGTTGTAACATATACAAAAGAAGAATGGTCAAGAATATAACAGAAAAGCAATGAAATTAAAGTAATTACATTATCTTATGTCTTCCTATTATGCCAGTGCTAGAATGCTTAAAATAGGTGCTGCTTTCTCATATCCCCCAAATAATCTGCAATATACAATTCAGTTTGGATATGAAGTTATTCAGTATTTTAGCTTGCTATGAACTTAACCCCAACTAGAATAATTGGTTACTTCATTTTTTAATAGGTACCATTAAAAATATGACAGACAAATTCGATATTATTTAATTTTAAATTATGCAAATAGGTTACAAGTACTGATCCTTCATTGGAGATTTTGAAGCTGGAAATGTAGTATGAAACTGAGTCTTTTTAAGAAATTTTTTTCATGCCTTATGAAATAAACATAAGACTTTGGATATAGTCTTTTTCCACCTGCTTATAAATTCATATAGACATAGCCAAAATTCACAAAGTTCACAGTGTCCTGTTTTTACATGATTTAAAACATTGCTTCCTCCCAAGCATGACTGCAATCTTATTTGGATACTACTCTAGATCAGAACATAAGGAAAGTATTCTATTTCAGTTAAAACTGGTTTCTATCATTGTACCTTTTCACATTGTAAGCACTGTGAAAGAAAATGGTTAAAAAGACAAGTTTATGCCTTGAAATTGAAAAACTCAGAATTTTCAAAATGTATGATTTTAAAAAAGAAAGGAACTGTTGCTTTATTTCCTTTGCTAATCCTACAGCAGCCAGATTGATTAGAAAAACAAATAAAATGGCAATAATAAAAAATTTTGAGAGAGATCTTTGAAGCAGTTTTATTTTTTCAAGCTCTGAGCTGCATCCTTGAAAAAGACTTTTTGCTAAATTGCCAAATCTTGTTTTGTTTTCAGAGTTCTTATTTTTTAAAATCTTCTAGGTCTCACCCACATTCACTGTTTAATTATATTTATCAAAATTTCAACGCACTTTTTCTAAGGGTAGCATCTTGCTATTTTTTTCTTAGTCTCTGTGTCTAGATGACAGAAGGGATAGGATGTACTAAATTAAAAAGAGGTTTAATCAAAACTTTCTCTCTTAATGGAGAGGAGTCTAAGACTGAGTCCAGAAATATCAAACAAGCTTTTTTTTTTCCCCAGCAACTGCTCCATATTTGTTTACGTGATTTCATAAGAGACCAAATATAACTTCTAATTTTCATTTTGATTTTGAAACAAAAATAATATTTAATTTCTAAAGAACAAGAATTTTAAGCACTACAACCTGGAGTTTTAGTACATGCAAAGATAAAGACCATGAGAAGGTGGATAAGCTGGTTCATCAACAATGTTAGTTCCATTTCCAGAAAATGTGGAAAGTCCTGTTTTCCATAAAGGCAAAGACAACTATTGACACAGCACTGAAAAAATGGTTCACAGTTTTTGAGGGGGTAAATCAAACAAATTCTATATGCCTAATTAATTGTCTCTTACAGGCTTAGAATTTGCATGGGGGAAGGTGAGATTCATCTTCACCTAACTTTATCAGTCTAGATGTTAGGGAATCTAGCCTAAGCAGATCACCTATATCCCCCCGTTGCTTGTAATTCAACGAGTAACTTGCACTCATACAAGTAAACTCTCACAAGAATGCAAATAGCCTATCCACCTGGAATTCTCTGAGCTACTGTGTCAGTGTACCAAAGCCAATACAGTGTTTGGTCAGTGTCATAGCTTTGCGTGCACAGTGAGGTTTAGCCGTGTATGTTTTAAAAATGTGTTCAACTCCTTCATACACAGCAGCCCAGGAAGAGTTCCTGCAAAGGAGCTCCCAGCAACCTTTTGGGCATTTGGAGCCTCATGGTACATCCAGACAAAATTCCTGGTTGGGAAAAAAGATACATGAAGGAAACCACTGCGTATGGATTCTCCATAGATCACAGAACCTGGTTAAATTCTACTTAAGCTGACGGGTTAATCAAAATCCTCCACTATAATGTGATAAGCCTTTTTTAAAATAATATTTTAATATTGATTAGAATGTATAACTTAAAGAGTTACCAAAATACTAACTGTCAGCAATAGTTGTGACTTCCTCATTCCGATACAACCAGCTGACAATGGGAGCAGGTGAACTAGTAACACGGCAAACAACTTCTGCGTCTTCTCCCTGCCTGAACTCTTGCGGAGATATTACGTCTCGGAAAGTGAGCTTTTCTGAAAAGTAAGAAAACAGAATATAATAAGTGTCCTCCAGTTCACTTAGCATTAAAACTATATGTGACACCAAATCAGATAAAGATGACTATTAAGCCTTCTCATTGTGATAATACAAAATTATTTCCATAATACGATTTTCCTAGATAAGACTCAAATGGTCCTGGGCACACGATTTCCACTCTGTCTGTAGACATGATTTTACAATCATGTTGCATTATATAAATAAAACAAAGATTTTCATAATCTGAGCATGTTTTATAAATGTATTTTTCATTGTTTTCAATGTTCCAGAGCCCAGTTTTGAAATTCTATTTTTTTAGAGGTTTATATATTCAGATTAATAGTCTCTTTAATCTTGTGTTTTATTCCTCATGATCTTATTATTGAATTAAAACCTCATGTTTTTATTCCATCAAAACTTCCATCAAACCCACTAAAATTATTTTGAAAAGTCTTATTAAAAAGGTGGAACTTCAGCCTCATTGACTGAAGAACATCAGATGAGTAAAACATAAAATCCTAAAAGCCAGTGGGAAACTGGATGGAAAACCTTAATAATATTAAGTCATAAAAATTTCCAGCATATTTTTGAGGAAATAGCAAGATTTTTTTAGGCCTGATGAGGCTTTTCATTTTTCAAACACCAAATAACCAAACTTGATATTTAATTTTATTAGTGGATTGAGTAAGTTCAGTATTATTAGAACTTAGTGTTAGAAGTCCAAGATGCCATTAATCCATGATCTCATACAAGATCTAACGCAGAAATCAATTGCCCGACAATTCTGGAAGAATTGCACACAGAAAAAACAAACCAACCTATGTTGTCTAGGATCAAAGACTGCCAATTATATTTCAGAGGACACTTTGGAGAGCATCAGTCAAGAGATGCAACTCCACCTCCACCTTTTTGTATTGACATGAGCACAGGCTCAAATAATCCACACAGTTCCCACAGCAGAGGGACCACACTTTTGTTATAGGCATCTCTCATGTACAAATTACAAAGTGTTTGTGTGAAATGTCTGAAGTATTCGACCATCTCTAAGTCAGAAGAAAAGCTCTCACCGACATCACTGAGCACTGAACCAGACCCTAGGAGTACAGTGTATCCTGCTTTTTCTTTACAATACATCAAAAATATGAATAATGAAACTTTTTTATGTCAGTTCCCACAAACCTTCACATTTCTTGTGTAGGTATTTGGGTTTATCTAACCTCAGATTATTAAAATTACCACATGCAAACACTTCAAAAGATTTCAACCTTGCTCAGCAGTCTGCTAATGGAGTGACTGGCAGTTTTAAGCATACAAATTAATTCCACAAATCCTTTGAACTGCCAGCTTTCAAGCCATCATGTAATCACTTGCAACTGCTATCACCATTTTAATGGCTGTTTTATCAATAGATTTTTTTTAAAAAACATATGTCTTTTGTTATCTGAGTGATCTGTACCTTTCAGAAGCAGTGCTTTATGATTCTACTCTGTATTTTCTGTCTCATTGTAATTCCTTAGTGCTCAGTCCATTCAACAAACATTTTTTTTAATGAATATTAAAAAACTATTCTCCAATGAAATTAGAGAATAACTCAGCTGAAAGGCTGCTGGCATATGTCCCACCCTTTCAAATACAAAGACTTTGCCTTACATCTTCACTGTGTACTTGTTTGATGCATTGCTTTTAGGCATTTTTGATTGATCTAAAGAATATAGTACAATGTAAAGTTATTTAACTAAATTGAAAAAAAAAAACAAACAACAAAACCTCTCAGTGAATGGAATATATTTACTTTTTAAATATACTCCTCAGTTAGTTGTTTGCAATTGAAATGGATTTTGGTTGCTTATCACATTAAGCTTCAATGCTTTATGGCAAAATTCCATTATAAGGCCAAGAATAGGAAAAGACTGACATAAAAATAACTAATTCAGTCTAAACTCTATTTTTTAAATTACATATATTGCACTTCCTGCACTTTTATTTATGCACATATTTCTAATATGTTGTAGACATATTTGTAACAAGAATTAGGTCGGCGTAAATTTTTCTCATGTTTCCTCTTTGCCATGAGCAGCATACAGTGCACCCTCATAAGACGGCGTTCTAAGATATAAAGGAAAAGTGATCTACAAAATTACAAAGTGGCTATTTATTTCATTTAAGTCTTCGTCATAGTATCTATTAACTAAACTGCAGGAGATGCAATTATTTGGAAGACAAGGTTCAGAGCCTGGGAAGATATTTTGATAGGCTTTACTTTCTCAACAGCAGTGGCTTTTAAAACATAGTCTTTCATTTGTTAATTGAAAATATTTTACTTACGATAAATTTCCAAAACAACAGTAGCTTCTTGCGTTTGTCCTTTAGCATCTATTGCTTGACATCGATATATACCAGCATCTTCTATATCTGCATTATAAATGGTTAGACGTGATCGAACACCTTCTCTCTGAACAACCACTCTTTGACTAGAAACAATCTTCTCTCCTTGTGGATTGTACCAATCTATGTTGTCAGGCTCACCAATGGCTACAAACAAAACCAAAAAACAATCCAACATTAGAAGTTCAGGTGCACATTAAGCAACACATACGCTTATACATAGACATTGTGCATTGGGACGTCAGAGAACTGCTAAATTATGAGAATTGTCAGAAAGTTTGTAGAAAGACAACCAAGGCAAAACTGTCGGCAGATATGTGATTGTTGAGACAGGATAACTAGTAGGCTCAAGGATTCAAGAAGGGAAAAAAATAAACACAGAAAGGTATAAAGTCTTAAAGGAAAGAAACAGGCTGTTGAGCAGTCACTGGATCAATAGCTGAAGTCATCAGTCAGTTGTGTTGTCAGTGTAGTCAGGCCATGTGTCATTCTCAATGGAAGACAGCAACTCAGCAACATCGGAGGATCTACATCAGGCAACTGTAAATGCAAACTATTCTCCTCCCGACTGATATCTGTCTCACCAGAAAAGACTCTTTGGGCATCTCGTTAGGTTGGAGAGGATACTAAAGCTTAGCCTAGTAGCTTAACTCCTCAGTTTAGACAAGTGAAAATATTTTCACTAAAGAAGCCTCGTAACAGATACAAACTACCTATACTGATACAGACAACTCAGACTGAGTGATTCAGAGTCTGAAATGAATAGTTTCTTGACTGAAAATATGAGGTCAGTGAAGATCTACTATTTATCAAAATTCTCACAAGTCAATGGGAATATATAAAAATATGCCCATTTAAGCTAATATTGTGAATCAATTAATTTGGTTTCAAATTAGGTAGAAGGTTCAAAATCTCACAAAAATTACATACCTACAAGTAAAATGAATACATACCTGTGCACGTGAAGAACTTGGATTCACCCACACTGAGCTCAACTTTGCTAAGTGAAATTGTAACTTGAAGTAGAGCTGAAAAATATAAAGTAGGCTGTGAATACATTTTGGTATTTATCAGTTTAAACATTATATTTTCAGGGTTTGTATTTTCTCATTCTATATTACAGAACCTGTTCAACAAATCTGAAAAGTTTCAGCTAAGCATTATACTCCATTTCAAAAATATATAGAGAGAGGTAGAAAAAACAATCAAAATAAAGCAAAGATATTACACAAAGGATAACAGCCTCACATCCTAAAACTGAGAACGAAATTAAAGAAAAAAAGAAAAAGGGGTAGAAATACACACAAATACAAAACCTAAAACTCAGTGAGAATAAGGTGACTGGGAACACTCAGCATAGACTGACCAAGGGTTATCATGCCTGATCAATGCCATTGCCTTCTAGGATAAAATGATCAATTTTGCGGACGAAGGAAGAACAGCGGTTGGGCAACTACCTGGACTTTACCAAGGCTTTTGACACTGCCTCCCACAATATTTTCATATTCAAGTGTATTGGATATAATTAGGAAGGTTTTGGTAGCGGGGGATGGTTGCAGGGGTAACTTCTGTGGGAGGGAGGTCAGGGGTTGCACTGTGACAGACACAGCCAGTTCCAGTTGGCTCCACAAAGGACCCACTGCAGGACACAGCTGAGAGAGTTGGAGGAGTTTGTGGCACCTCTTAGAAGACCAAGACAGAAGAACACGAAGGCTGGAGCAAGAGAAGGTGCCCCATGGCACAGTTGGTTACATCCCTGAAGGGACTGTGGCCCCATGCATAAGCCCATGCTAGAGCAAGTACACCCCCAAAAGGACTGTGGCCTGTGAATAACCCACAGTGGAACAGAGGAAATGAGTTCGGCAGGTGAGGCAGTGGAAGAAAAGACTGAGAAAGAAGGAATGGCAGAAAGAAACCACTATGACCTTACTTCAACCTCCTGCATCACCCACCACCTCACTGAAGGGACTGAGTGCAACCTGCATTGATGTTGATAACAAGGGGAGTGGAGACTAGGAATGGGGAAGGAGAGGTATCTGGAGCCTGGGAAAGAGGAAGAAAGGTGTTGTCCCTAAGTGTTTAAGTATTTGTCTGTTTTGTTTCCCAGTACTCAAATCAGTAATTAAACGTTTGTGTTAACGGTCGACAAAGTTAAATTCCCCCAGTAGAGTGTGCTTTGCCCACAGCAGTAATTTGCCAGTGATTTTCCTGTCTTTACCTTGACCCATGAGTTTTCTCACTCCCAGTCTTCCTATTTTCATCCCTGTCTTGCTAGGGGTGAGGGGTGTGAGCAAGGGGCTGTGTGGGTGCTTGGCCCAACCCACCACATCAAGTTAGGGTGTTACAGTCTGGGTGAGTGGACAGCTAGGTTGATAAAAAAATAGTTGGATGGTTAGGCTGAGAAGGCAGTGGCCAATGGGTCATACTCAACCTGGAGACCAGTAACAAGTCGGGTACTGTAGGGTTCTGTCCTGGGATCCGTCCTATTTAACACCTTTATCAATGACATGAAGGAGGTCATTGACCTAGAGAGACTGGAAGAATGGATCAACAGGAACACCATAATATTCAATATGGATAAATACTAAGTTCTGCACCTGGGAGGGAATAACCTGTTGGGAGTCATACAACCAGCGAGTGGAGGCTGAGGGGAGCTAGGCTTATTCAATCTGAAGAGAGAGCTGCAGGGGAACCCAGCAGCCACCTGCCCATACCTATGGGGAATTCATCAAGATGATGATTTCTTCTCTCCTATGAAGATAGGCTGAGAGAGTTGGGGTTGTTCAGCCTGGAGAAGAGAAGGCTCTGGGGAGACCTTAGAGCAGCCTGCCAGTACCTACAGGTGCCTACAAGAAAGCTGGGGAGGGACTTTATACAAGAGCACGGAGTGACAGGACAAGGGGCAATGGCTTTAAACTGGAAGAGGGAGGATTTAGATCAGACATTAGAAGAAATGCTTCCCGGTGAGGGTGGTGAGGCGCACTGGCAGAGGTTGCCCAGAGAAGCTGTGGCTGCCCCCTCCCTGGAAGTGTTGAAGGCCAGGCTGGATGGGGCTTTGAGCAACCTGGTCTGGTGGGAGGTGTCCCTGCCCATGGCAGGGGGGTTGGAACTACATGATCTTCCAACCAAACTATTGTATGATTCTAAGATGGAGCCAGGCTCTTCTCAGTGGTGCATGGCAGATAGATGAAAGACATGTTGAAATAAGAGAGATTCAGGCTGAGCATAAGGAAAAAGTTTTTCATGATGCAGGCACTCAGACAGTGGAGCAGATTGCCCAGAAAGATTATGCACTCTCGGTTCTTCCAGTTTTCAAGAGCTCACTGGGTAAAGCCTTCAACAATCTGGTCTGTCTTTGTAACTGACCCTGCTTTGAGCCGGAGGTTGGCGTGAAAACACAGTCCCTTTGACCTTGAATTATCTTATGGTCCGATGACCTACTGAACACAGCCAGTATTTTTGGTGAAGGGCTTATTTATGCAAAATAACTATGTACTCTTCAGTAACACAATTCCAGCATTATCATCATCCTAAGTAGCTGTAGCTCTTTAACATCCATTATCTTACAACATTGGACAATAAATGCTCATGAACCAATAACAAGGATAAAGTCAGTCACATTAATTTCAAGTTCTAATCAAGACAGAAAAAGTCAAACAAACAACAAAAGGACTAATTTTTTAGAGAAGAAAATAATCTAAATTTTCATTCAGTATTATACATAGTAGTGAACTGGGTTGTATCTGAAATTTAAAAAAAATTGGTTCAAGAATGTGGGGGTTTAAGTCTTGAAATATAATAATTATGGTCTATTCTGTGTATGTGGAAATATTTCACCTTTTTAAAAACTGCAACACAAACTACAGTGTATACTGAATGTCCCAATCTCATTAGATTCCTTTTGCATAATTGGTACGAAAGTCCAACAGGAGAAATATCTCCAGAGGTGGGGAGTATAACACTCCAAACTAACTTTTCGGTGTGACAAATTTTACCCATGTTAGAACTTTAAAACCTGCTAAAACCCACAATTACTGAGTCCTGTTGACAGTAAAAATTAAAGATGAGCACAGAAAAAATCATTATCTAATATTTCATACATATTAATGTGACAATTATTACAAAAGAGAAAAGTGTCATGAAATACATTTGCTATTAAGTGATGTACTTTCATGTAATCAGCCTGGATAAGCAAGAACTAGACCAGATTTGAATTTTTTGTTCAACAGTCATATCATAAGGAAAATCAAAAAAGGCAAAGAAAACTGAAAATTACCTCAGTATCAGTCTGCCAAACAAAATTTAACAGAATTGGGTATTTTCTACCAAAAAAACCCCAACCAAACAACAAACACATTTATGGTATATAACATTTTTCATGAGATGTCCTGAATTGTGGATACTGTTCCTGAGGAGATCATCACGACTGAACTTTTTTTCTTTTAATTAATATTTTATACCCTGCCCCCCATAAGAAAATAGTTAAGAAGAAAAACCACAAAAAGCACCCAAGAACACACCCTACTTCAGGCAAACATAAGTATCTGTGCGTACTCCGTTTGCAAACATCAAAACTTGCCAGTCCATAAAGACGGTCAGGAAAAGGGCACGACTGCCTAGAGGTCAGGAAGAAACTGAAGTGGACTGTACAAACGTTGACTCTAGTACCGGAGTAGGTACTAGTACAATTCTCATTGCAATCACAAGGAACACAGTGAAGGCTCCTTTAGGACTCGCGCACAGTGTTGACAGAAAGACTAATGTGCTCATTTTCACCTATGGTCTTTACATCCATGGTATCAGAAGCAAAGGACAAGCTTAAGTGTAGGAAAGGAAATGAGTTTCAACAAAGCTTCATTTTTGTTGTAATAAGCATCAAGGAGTAATAAATCATCCAGGAGGCTACTCAAATCCTCACTTCTTTATTTACCTGTCAGGGTAAGCTTCACTTTAACCTCAGGACATACAACTGCTGGTTGGAAACCAAGGTAATAATAAATGCAGAGGTTGGGGAATTTCAAGAGATTAGAGCCCGGACACTTATTTCAAATCACAGACTCACTTTTTAGGTCTTATGCCACCACTTGTCTGGTATTATATTTTTTTATAGAGTTTGTAGTCTTGTAGAGTTGCTTCAGAAATATATACGTTACCATTTCAGCAGTATTGCTTCAAGGACAATTTCATTGCTTAGTTCCAATAACTGTAATAACTGATGTTGAACTATGTAAATGCAATAGATTAAGTAATAAATGTCAGGTAGAATGTAAGGAACTGCATGATGGGACGCGAAAAGCAAACTTAGAGAATATTTTTCCTTCATCAATGAAACAGATATTTGAGACTATAACACAGTTTTGGCAAAGGGCCGAACTCCATTTAAAATTCTTAGCGTAAGTGCAATTATAAACTCTGTGGGGACATGCTAGCTACATCTCTGAAACCAAAAGGAAATCATATTTTCTACATATGGTACTTTAATATTGACAAAATAGAAAAATATAAGACCATCTGTCCACTTTTTTCCAGCCTTATCATTTTCCTTGCTCTGTTTCATGTAAATAGAAAAATACTGCTTTATACAAACTAGAATGAAAAATATTGCCCAAGTGATTAATCTAGCAATCTGCGCTTACTGGGTAGTCGGGCAAATAGTCCTGTACTAAGCTAGGAGAAGGCCCACTCATCACTTACTGAAAGTAAAACATTGCAAAAAGACAATACCTCCAGAAAGTTTTATATTACTTCCAAATTTATTTCAAGAACAACTACATAGATGCATTAGGTGATTATCAGCTCTGATTAAGATGGCATGCAACGTACACACAATTCAAGTTACTGCTGTACACTAACAGCTAATAGATTAATATAAAAGGGAGTTGTTTGTACCAGACTGGTCTGAAGGTCTTTGAACACGGGGTGAATGCCTATTTTATCAAGTCAGCAAAGATGTTAAAAAAATTCAAGTCAGCAGAGGCTATGTCTAGCTATGTTAAACCAAGCCATGAAATGGATAGTATATTCTTGATAGAACTGACAAAATACTGCCTCTTCCCGTG